AAAAGCAAATCCACTGTCCTCAATATCGTCAAGATCCTCATCAGATGCCGTGCTGCTGGATGTAGTTTATCGTCAAACCCAGGACTATTAATCTTTTGTAAACATATGCAACCGGGTATTTTGTTTACTTGTCTGTATCCTTTTAGATCGTACACAGGTGTAAGGTGCCACTTTTTTCAATTTCAATTTTTAGATCATTATATTTATTTATTTTGTCATATTCTTCCACAGATATATTTGCATCTGAAAGCATTTTTGTAGATTATTATTATTATTATTATTATTATCGAGTGAGAGATTAGCATGAAAACAAAATGACGCTGAAATACAAATATACGAAGCACGATATCATGACACCAAATCGGATATGGGTCTACCAGGCACCTTCATCCCAGCCAAAAGTACGTGATATGGTGACAATTTTTCGTAAAAGCAACGCATAGCCTCGAATGTAGAACCTAATCAGAAATAACCACAGGTCAATTAATCCAATCTACCCAGATTGTCCTGGCTGCTTCATCCTTCAAACTTAAAAATAACGATACCTGGCTCTGATGCACCCCCCCCTACCAAACAGAGATGCATAATGAGTTATGGGTCATGGCTGATTATGGTCAGAAGACTGTGGTAACGATATTTATTATGTTCTAACAGATGACGGAAAATTAGACACAGAAATCCGAAGACAGCTCGGAAATGCATTCCAAAAGCGAAACACAATATTAAATAATAATATGAAAGTTTCATTCAAAAAAAAGGAAAGCTTGCTAAAATGATATGTAATATCATTTTCATTGTATGATATTGAATACTGGACACTTACCGCACAGATAAAAAGGGAACTTGAAGTAACAACACTACAGAAAGATGCTGAGAATACCATGGAGTGAATATTCAAGCAACGAGGAAGTTTTAAGGAAAGTAGAAGCATAAAGGATACTTTCACTCAAGATCAGAAGGAAAAAATAATGTGGAAATAAGGCTTGGCAAATTTGATACCCACAAAACAAATTGAATGCAAGAAGTATAAAAAGGAAACAGCGGGTAAGCTGCCGAATGCACTCTTGTAAATAAATGGCAAAACGGACTGGTAGGGATCGTAAGAGGATGAATACTGTTCGGAAATGAAAAGGATAGGAAGTTATGGAGAGAAAGAATCGACCACTTCTTAAAGTGATATAACGCATAAAAGAAGATGAAAAAATTAATATTTCGCAATATGAAACATACGTGAATATGATATTCGCTAACCAAATTAAAAAAAAATTAAAAATTTACCCAAAGAAGATTTTGCTAAATATTTAGATAATTGCCTTTCAGCTATTATCAATCAGTGTTACGATTCCAGAAGACATTTATTGACAAAACATCAATTATTTGACAGTACTTCGGAGAAAACAATATCAATTTAAGCGATCAGAGAGGCGTGGGGTTGAGTCGTGATAAGGATGTGATAGCGATAGTTTCGTCGAACACTGCAAATTGCAACAAAACCAAAACATTAATCTAAAATTAGAATCATATTCTTAAATAGCCTCGTCAGATCGAGATTTTAATTTTGATGTCACGCATTGTATCAAACACGTTCAGAAATATTAAAACTCTCTGCTGTATACAACCACTTTCTCAAATTAATGTTTAAAATTAATAAAACCTTTTTTTTTAAATAATTTCTCAATTCCAAAATATTAACCCGAGAGCAAACTATCCTGCATTCACTTTCATCGTCTAAATTTGTCATAAATGATCCACACTGCGAGGTATTTGCTGTGTTAACAATTTATCAATTTCATATTCTGAAATCTGGGATGGAAACAGGTTATCCACCATTACGGCTCTCAATTCTTTTAAACTGATATCCTTTAGCCACACAAAGCTTATGTAATATCAGATATAAGGATTTCATAAATGTTTTACTTTATTTCAAAAAATTGCTAGAACCATTTCTTAATCATTTCACTCCAAACAAGATGACAATCCCACTATAACGCAAGGGGTTAAAATGAAAGCGAATGAGAAAATTGAAAAATGAGGGAGGATTTAGGAAAAGACAAAAAAGGAACAGGGTTTGAGAATACAGAAAATTGCGATTGACCTTACATTTAATTTTTGAAGATTGTAGTTATTAGAGAAGCAAGAAATCAGAAGGTAGTTCGACGGGTTGAAAGTGCGAGATATTGAAACTGTTAGAGTAGAAGTGGAGTTTACATCTAGCTAGTTCAATAGTAAAACGTTGAGACCTAATTGCCACTCTAGTAACACGGTTAAATTCATGCAGACGAGGCACTGAGGAAGAATAATTATCCCTGTATAATTATACTTTTATAAATTATAAACTACAATACTGGAAAGTGAAATATGTTGGGCATTTTCCAGCTATTCTTCTGGAATCCAGAAAATATAAACATTAAACGCATTGGTCACAATCTCTACAGGAAAAGAAGGCGTCAGTTTAGACTGAGGCCGAGAGGATATCCTTTGGGATTAAACATCTTTTTTATACTTGAGCTTGACCGCGGATAACTTAAATCGTAAAAATGAAACAACAGTAGGAGAAAGAAAATGGCAGCCGATATTCAAAACAACGTACATTCCGTCGTTTACTGATCAGCAGTCAAAAAACTCAGCCGAGCACTTGCCATGACAATATTTGTAGAACAGACAGAAGGATGTCACGTCACGTCCCTGAGAAAGAGAGACGTGATTCCTGGATCATTGTATTTTTTTTTTAAGAATCTTGAGATGCACAGTCGGAGCAAGAGATCAGTTATGGCAACAGTATTCGATAATGGTAGATTTAAAAATATCTAAGATTGATTCTGTCAAGAAAAAAAAACCTTTTGGTACGACATAGTGAACCAACCTTCCTTCCTTGCAGCCGACGTAGCAATTGACTCGATATATTGTCGCTCAACTTCATATCAGTTGAAAAATGTGAAACCAAGAAAGCGTAGAGTGTCGTTCTCTTGGAATTCAGCATCAACCATCTCAATGGTATGCAGAAAAGTTGCTCTATGGTGATTTGCAGTCAGATATGTTACCCACATATTTAGTGTTGTTTCTAAGTTATTTGATTGGAGTGATATTATTTTATTTTGGTCGCTTTTTATCGTAATATATTTATTTCTGCGTTCACGATAGCGAATAATGTTTTCTATTGTTTGTCTGCAATTGAAGCAGTAAAGCAATGTCAGTACAATGCAAAACTTGAAACACCTGTTTACTAAATATATATTGATTCCTTTCAATAAACCTCTGTCTTGCTCTTTCTTCTATCTCTCTCTTTCTTTATCTTTCACTTACTGTCTCTCGTTCACTCTCTCGTTATCTCTCTTTCGATGTCTCTCTCTCTCTTTCACGTTCCTTCATTTTCTCTCTCGTACGAACATTTAAGAAGGAAATGTGTGTGTGTGTGTGTATGTGCGTGTGTTTTGTGCTGTACACTCCTAAATTGTTATAAAGATGAAAATAAGAAACCTCTAAAATTGTTCTCTCTCTCTATTTCCCTCTTTTTTATCTTTGTCCCTCTCTCTTGTTCCCTCACTCTCTCGCTCCCTTTCCCTCACTCTCTCGCTCCCTTTCCCTCACTCTCGTTTGCTTTCTCTCTGTATCTCTCTCTCTATATATATATACTCTCTCTCTCTCATTCGCTATCAATCACGTCTCTCTCTCTCTCTCTCTCTCTCTCTCTGGCTCTTTTGTATACGGATATAGCGAAGATATATGTGTCTATGTACTTTGGGCGGTACGTCCTTTCTAAATTGCTATAAAGGCGAAAAATAAGAATTTTTTCTCTTTTTCTTTCTTTATCTATCGCTCTCTCTCTCTTTCTCTCTATCTCTGTCAGTTGCTCTCTCAATATATGTACATATTTCTTTCGATCTCTCTCTCTCTCTCTCACTCTTATTCCCTCTCTCTATCTCCCGTTCTCTCTCTATTTCGCTTTCACCCTCTTTGTATATATATTTCGTTCTCTCGTTCACTCTCTCTCTCTCTCTCTCTCCCTCTTTCTATTACTTTCTCATATGTGTATATAGGGAGGAAATGTGTGTGTATGTGTGCGTGCATTCTGCAGTACAGCCCTTGTAATTTATTATAAAGATGAAAATTTCTTTCTTTAAATTCCCACTTACTCGTTTCTATACGAGTAAAACAAATTTTATAGGTGTGAGACTGATCACAGTGACACAGATACTTTGCAATGGTGCAAAATAAACGTTTTCTTTCTTCAAGAAAGACCATATATATATATATATATATATATTGCACTCTGTCCATCCTATCGGTTGGACGGAATTTGAAGCGTGCCTGTGCCCTACGTCTTATATATATATATATATATATATATATATATATATATATATATATATATATATATATATATATATATATATATATATATTTTAAAAATGCAAACTGGCGTTCTAAAAGAATTTGATTTGATTGATCGATGTTTTATTTCTATGTGAATGTATCCTGCAATTTGATTGGATAACATTAAGAAATATGTTAACCAATAGTTAATCAAAATAATTAAACATTCATAAATTCTAAGTCTTCCCCCAGTTCAGACATTTACAGCTAAAACACGGAAACAAATCGCGCACATTAGATCTGTGTTCCATTCATACAGTTTTATTCGCAACACCTTCCACTTTGTGAGACATGCCCTCGTGTGTTTTTTTTTTTTCCTGAACACATCAAACTTAATCTCTTCCATCAAGGATCAACTTATCCTCATAATTTATATTTCCTACAATTTTTTTCTTCTATTCAAACCACGCAGGTCGTTTATCATTGTTTTTCTATTGTAATGCTCTATATTGAGTTGCTCTCGGGCATTGTATTGCATGAAATTTAGTAAAACTAAATACTGCTAAGCTCGATGGCAGTAGATTTCTCAATGAATGCATCATATACATGGGCTTGTGTTTCAACTAAGTTCATTGAATTTGAACATGTGCTTTACTGTGAAAGCTAGTCTCGCCGATCTGTAGGCTTACGGTCACATCATGTTGAAACACCGATCATCGTAGTTAAGCAACGTTGAGTCTGGTCAGTACCTAGATGGGTGACCACTTGGAAATACCAGGTGTTGTAATCTTGGATGTGCGGGTGGTGTAATGGATAACAGCTCGGAATTGTCAATCGGAAAGCCGAGTTCCAATTCCAGTCGGGTACGTTATATTCCCTTACGGAAGGAATGAATTCTCTCCCCCCCCCCACCTCACACCGGCTATGGGCTAATTAGTAACACTTGTATCTCTGAATCATCATTCTCTCCAAAACATTCTTACTATCTAAAAATAGCTTATGGCTTTAAGTAATCTGCAAAAGGTTGGTAACTCGTAAAAAATCAGTCAATCCATCAATCACAAATTCGATACTCTCTGACAACTCATAGTTTTGGTCCAGTACCTAAATCATTTAAACTTATTAAATTTCCCTTTCATCAAGAGTTGTGATTAACAAGCAGTTAATATTGACTCGAATGAATTTGTTACTTACTGAATGTTTTACGCTCATGTCCTTGTACCAGACTTGGGCAAACTTAGTAAATATCTATCTCAGATTCATTTCCCTTTATTAAGGGAGTGTACTGAACATTAAAATAATCAGCTATGGCTAAATGTATTATAAAATGGTTGAGAGATATTTTTAAAGTGTCATTTATAACCTTTATGTTCAAAATCTTAACAGAAGTTTTTCTCTTACTATTTCATCGTTAATGTCATATTAATTAATGTAATCATGTTCAGCAAGTCTGTTTGCATTCAAGTTATTAATATCCAACATTTTATCACGTCAAACTTGATTGAAATTTATAGACGAGTAACTGTTTGTAATCGCCCTTAGTAAAATATTTCTTATCAGCTTCGTGCAAAAAGAAAAGAAAAGGAAAAAGAAAGGGAAATGAAGATTCCAGATTGCTGTCCTATTTCTTATCTTTGTCTGCCGATGAACGCTGAGCTACTATCATGATGGCAAAATAGAAGATACTAAGTGCTATTCATATCTGGCTTCTTAGTCGGAGAAAGTGGCCAAAACTGTTGCAAGATTACAAGATAAAGCGGAACAAACCAACAAACAAATAAATGGTTTTGTTCATTTAAAATTTAAAACAATTTTTTGTTCACTTAAAATTCGATTCAATTTGAATATATTATATATCTTTTATTATAGAATGAAGCGTTCTCAGCTATTATTCATTTCTACTGAGTATTTATTTCGTTTTAATTTCAGTTGGTGCTACATACAGTGCGTAGCAAAAGTATTTAACACATCAATTTTTTTATAAATTTCGCAATAAAAATTGTTTTCACTGATACTTCAAATATTTTAACATTGTCTAACTAAACATAAAGAAAAAATGAGAAGCATTGCTTTTATGTACTTGCCAATTTTCGAATTTGACTCTGTGCAAAAGTATTTAAAACCTATACAAATAATACGGTAAAAAGTATAGTATAGTATAAACGTATATAAAATAGGGATAACAGATCTGATAGAGTACAGACTGTTTCGCTATCCCAACTTATAAAAGTGGTTAAAACAAAATAATTGTCAAATGATATGCTACGAAAGATTATAAAACTGCAAAAAGATGGTAAAGGGTATCAAAAAATTGCTCAAGATTTAAATTTGCTTATGTGTACAATGGTTGCTGTTGTTCGAAAGTGGAAAAAATGTGATACTACTGAAAATATTGAAAGGAGTGGTCATCCGCGTAACTGAAACGAGGCTATTGTACTATATATAGCCCGGAATGTGAAAAACAACCATTTTTGACTTGAAGAGAAATTCAGAACAATCTGAAAAATGCCGAAATTGAAGTGATCACTGAATCGTACAGGCCGTATTCTGGATAACCAAGGCAGATTCTACTACTAAACCGTAAACATATGCAAGACCGTTCGAAATTTGTTAATAATTATGAACATGAATCATATGAATTCTAGAATAAAGTTATCTGATCATATGAAATGAACATTGAGCTTTTTGAGTGAAACATGTGCACCTAGGTATGGAAGAAAAAAGGAACTGAATACAACCCAGTAAACACCATCCCGACAGTCAAATATAGGAGTGGGGTGGAAGTGTAATGATTTGGGGTTGTTTTTCGTATAACGGAGAAGGAGAAACGGAAGTCATCGAATGTATGTAGCAAAATACAAGCAAATCTTATCAACCCATCTAGTGCATCTAGTCTTCTAAAGTGCAAGAGGATTGGGACTTGATCGAGATTTTGTATTCCAACAGGACAACAATCCAAAGCACATGGCTAAAACAACTCAACACTCATTCAATGAAAATAGAATTGATGTTCTGGAATAGCCTAGCCAGTCACTGGATCTCAATCCGATAGAAAAATCATGGAAAAATTTGAAGTTGAGAGTATACACAAGGGACTGAAGAAAGTCTGTGAAGAAGAATGGGTGAAATTACCAAAATCTTCATGCAAGAAGCTCATTGAAAACTACAGAAAACGACTAAAGATTGTAAGGCAGAACAGAGGATATGCTACTAAATATTAACAAATCATGTTAAATACTTTTGCACACAGTCAAATTCGAAAATTGGCAATAAAAATACATAAAAACCAAGGCTTCTCAGTTTTCCTTTATGTTTAGTCAGACAATATTCATTAAAATCTTTGAAGTATCATTCAAATTGAACAATTTTTAATTGTGAAACTTATAAAAAATGATGTGTTAAATACTTTTGCTACCCACTGTAGGCACCTCAGCAGATAACTAAAGTTTAAAATGCATTTATTTATTTTCTTAATAGGTATAACACCATGCAATGCAGTAGAGCCACTAAAATACATGAGATTATAGAGTGTGGAAGAATTAGGAACAGAAACATTAATAATGAGCGGGAAGGAAAGAGTAATCAGGAGGGCAGTTGATAGAGATTAAAATTGCATTTAAATTTTTGCAGTCTAATGCTGGCTGGAAAGCATGAAGCCGGAAGGGAGTTCTATAAGCGAGAAGTGCAAGAAAAGAAACTGGTAGCACAGAATTTAATAAATTGGAGCTTTTAGTTTAATTTTTTTATTTCAAGCTAATCGATGAAATTTAATATTTCCAATAAGCAAGCGTGAGATTTCATATCAGAATCAATAACATCGATGATTTTAGCACCGTTTTTAGCCACCTTTCATTACAACATAATTCTCTATTTTTAAATTTCTTTAAAAAATAAAATATGATTTTATAAAGCTTTGTTTGAGTTGATTTAAAATTTAATTAATCTGATTCGAAACAAATATTACTTTAAGCTGAAAATATCGCAGAAATGCATTTTTAACATAGCGGCAGATATTTATTTCAGGTGTTGACAAGTTGACAACTTGAATGACAAACGGAAGTTCATCTAAATTTTTCTTTCTACCGCCGTAATATCTGTAAAATTTACTTGAGGAACATAACGTGAGCGCCTTTTTAATATAATATATAATTACTTAGTAGTCTTAAAAATTTAAGAAAATATTTTCCGTAATCTAATTTATTTTTTTAAATTTTGGATACCTTGACTTTCAAATTACTATAGTTATCGCTCTTATTTTCTGATAATGTCGTATATGGACATCCGTATTTACAAAAATCGGCATGTTCACACACACACACAAAATTTCAAAATACTTTTTAAAATATTGGTTTCGATGAATTTTACTAATCTTCTCCATTTATGATTAGTAAATATAGTTAAATATAGTTTTTACTTAATAACAATATCACCTAACCGGAACAAAGTAATCTAGAAATGAAAAAATTAAAACTCTATAAATTATTCTAATTAAAATTTAAAAAAATGAAAACATACTTTTTAAAATACTGGAGTCGCTAAATCGTAGTCAGATTTTTATTCATGCTTATTAAACATAGTTTCTACTTAATAAAATATCACATAATAGACCCAAATTAATACAAGATTTTAAAAGATTTAAAACTCTATTTTATTCTAATTCAAATATTTGAAAAAAAGAAAATAATTATTGTAAAAATCCATTATACATCAACATATTTTTTCTTAAAACAATAGTGTCCATAATATATCTTCTTCATAAACGCAATTAAAAACTTTTCTAATTAAATATTGTCTTTTAGTTTTATTGCATTATTTTATATAATAAGATTTAGAGCAGATTTTCGGTAACTGGTGTTTCTGTTTTACAAAAGAAAATTGATTTAAATTCTCCATGGTGTTCTGCTTCTAGCTAATATAAGCATTAAGTGGCACAAAATTTAATTTATCGAAATTACATAATATTATATAAGTGAGGGTAACAGATGTAAAAAAGATTTTCGAAAAAAAAAGGAAACATTTCTAAAATAATTTCATTAATTTGTGAATATGTCCTGAAATTTTCATTAAAATAATTAACACCTTGATTCTACAACAGGCTTTCATGGCTTCTGGTTTTAAATGATTGTGGTGTTAATATATATATATATATATATATATATATATATATATATATATATGTACTTTGTTCTGATGTAAAGTACCGCAGATTTGCTTGCTTCGTACTCGATTTAACAAGTTGGGTATGGTGATTTTCTGTCCTCCAATTGATACCCAAGACTAAAATACCAAGCAAAGAGTTGGATGAGTCTCGTGGTGAGTAAGAAGGTGTTTCATTAATCTTCCCACAGTGCCTCAGACTCAACACAGAGACCTACATCAAGTGCCTAGAGGAGATAGTGCTGCCCCGGGTTAAGCAGGTGGCAACAAAACTCTGTAACTATGCCACACAAACAGGAGAACCCAGTCATGGCTGTCAGAAAATTTCAGCGCCCACATCAACTCTTACATCTGTCCACATAACTCCGAAGACTGCGACATCCATGATTATTATATGTGGGCTGCAGTTAAGTGGGGGACCCGCAAAACACCTTGTAATACCAAAGATGAACTGAAGGCAAGGTTTATGACAGCATTCACCAACTTAAAAAAGGAGACCGTGAGAAGAGTTACAGGAGATTCCGAAGTCGTCTGGAGGCCGTGGTTAAAGCGAAAGACGATTTTATAGAATAAATTTACTGTTCAATTTTTCAAGATATGTTTGTGTAATTTTGGTAAATATATCTATTGA